GCCTTGGAACGACCCTTCGGAAGGGTCCTTCCCAGGCTACCACCGGCATTTTCCCCCAGCTGAGCAGCGGGGCTCCCGCTCAGCTAGGGGAAAATGCCCCCTCCGAAGGGGAATCCCGGCGGTGGCCTTGGAACGACCCTTCGGAAGGGTCCTTCCCAGGCTACCACCGGCATTTTCCCCCAGCTGAGCAGCGGGGCTCCCGCTCAGCTAGGGGAAAATGCCCCCTCCGAAGGGGAATCCCGGCGGTGGCCTTGGAACGACCCTTCGGAAGGGTCCTTCCCAGGCTACCACCGGCATTTTCCCCCAGCTGAGCAGCGGGGCTCCCGCTCAGCTAGGGGAAAATGCCCCCTCCGAAGGGGAATCCCGGCGGTGGCCTTGGAACGACCCTTCGGAAGGGTCCTTCCCAGGCTACCACCGGCATTTTCCCCCAGCTGAGCAGCGGGGCTCCCGCTCAGCTAGGGGAAAATGCCCCCTCCGAAGGGGAATCCCGGCGGTGGCCTTGGAACGACCCTTCGGAAGGGTCCTTCCCAGGCTACCACCGGCATTTTCCCCCAGCTGAGCAGCGGGGCTCCCGCTCAGCTAGGGGAAAATGCCCCCTCCGAAGGGGAATCCCGGCGGTGGCCTTGGAACGACCCTTCGGAAGGGTCCTTCCCAGGCTACCACCGGCATTTTCCCCCAGCTGAGCAGCGGGGCTCCCGCTCAGCTAGGGGAAAATGCCCCCTCCGAAGGGGAATCCCGGCGGTGGCCTTGGAACGACCCTTCGGAAGGGTCCTTCCCAGGCTACCACCGGCATTTTCCCCCAGCTGAGCAGCGGGGCTCCCGCTCAGCTAGGGGAAAATGCCCCCTCCGAAGGGGAATCCCGGCGGTGGCCTTGGAACGACCCTTCGGAAGGGTCCTTCCCAGGCTACCACCGGCATTTTCCCCCAGCTGAGCAGCGGGGCTCCCGCTCAGCTAGGGGAAAATGCCCCCTCCGAAGGGGAATCCCGGCGGTGGCCTTGGAACGACCCTTCGGAAGGGTCCTTCCCAGGCTACCACCGGCATTTTCCCCCAGCTGAGCAGCGGGGCTCCCGCTCAGCTAGGGGAAAATGCCCCCTCCGAAGGGGAATCCCGGCGGTGGCCTTGGAACGACCCTTCGGAAGGGTCCTTCCCAGGCTACCACCGGCATTTTCCCCCAGCTGAGCAGCGGGGCTCCCGCTCAGCTAGGGGAAAATGCCCCCTCCGAAGGGGAATCCCGGCGGTGGCCTTGGAACGACCCTTCGGAAGGGTCCTTCCCAGGCTACCACCGGCATTTTCCCCCAGCTGAGCAGCGGGGCTCCCGCTCAGCTAGGGGAAAATGCCCCCTCCGAAGGGGAATCCCGGCGGTGGCCTTGGAACGACCCTTCGGAAGGGTCCTTCCCAGGCTACCACCGGCATTTTCCCCCAGCTGAGCAGCGGGGCTCCCGCTCAGCTAGGGGAAAATGCCCCCTCCGAAGGGGAATCCCGGCGGTGGCCTTGGAACGACCCTTCGGAAGGGTCCTTCCCAGGCTACCACCGGCATTTTCCCCCAGCTGAGCAGCGGGAGCGGTCCTTTGGAGGCTCCCGCCACTCAGCTGGGGGAAAATGGGGCCCATGGGGAAAACATCGCAAAGCGATTTTTCCCCATAGGCAACATCGCAAAGCGATGGCAAAAGAGATTGCTTTTTTGCCATCGCTATGCGAATTCATCGTTAACCGGGGCACTCGTTAAACGAGGCACCACTGTATTTAAATATTACAATACCTGGGTGGAGGAAAGTAAAGTAGACTGGAAAAGGACATCTTCAATCTAAAAATTACAAAACGTTTTAGCCCAGAAACAATAAACTCAGAAGAAAAGTGTGGCTGTAATAATTACACAAAACATAGCACAAGAAGATGTGAGCTATGATATAAAGTTTGAATAAACAATATCAATCAGATTTCATGGAAGGCTATGCTCTGACTGCATGTTAAAGAAGAAATGGAAAATTCATGCAAGTAACCAGGAGGAAATTGATTACTCACCAAAAGCTGCTGTGCTGATAATCATAGATGACTGAAACTTGAAAGCAGGGGGGGGGGAAATAGAATCAAACAGCTTTGGAAAATTAAGCCTATGAGTAACAAAACAAGGAGGAAAGCAATTCATATGATTTTGTGAAGGCAACAATTTGTTTATTGCAAATATATGCTTCAAGCAACATAACAGACTACAGTGGGGTCTCTACTTAAGAACGTCTCTACTTAAGAACAATCCAACTTAAGAACAGCTCCATTTGCTAAATTTTGCTTCTACTTGAGAACAGAAATCCAAGAACAGGAAAAAAAACCTTTCCTGCTCTTTTTTTAACCTTAGGTCATTTTAGGTTAAAAAAATTTCTCCCCCTAGTGGTAGAATCCGTATTAACCAGCTTTGCATTAGTTCCTATGGGAACTAATGCTTCAATGTATGAACACACCTCTACATAACAAAAAAACAGCCAGAACGGATTAATTGGTTTTCAGTCCATTCCTATGGGAAATTTTGCTTCAACTTAAGAATGTTTCAACTTAAGAACACCATTCCAAAACGGATTAAGCTCTTAAGTAGAGGTTCCACTGTAGTTTCTATGGACGGAAAAGAGCAGATACGGATTAAATGGTTTTCAATGCATTCCTATGGGAAATGCAGATTCAACATAAAAACTTTTCAACTTGAGAACCACCTTCCAATACGGATTAAGTTCTTAAGTAGAGACCCCACTGTATTCTACCTATGGATGTCACCATGGGGTCAATATAGACATCAAATATAACTGGAAGCAGGAGGAGCCCTACTGTCTCTACAAAAATAGAACAAGGTACAGACTGTGGTATATAGACCATGAACTGCCAATACCAAATTTTTGATTAAAGAAGCAGCTCTTCTATGAATAGAAGATAATTGTGCCTTATAGCATTGTTTTGCTTTGTTTTTTAAAAACACTCAAACCAGTGTTTTTCATGGATATATGTATGATGGTTACACAGCATAACAGAATCTAAAATACACAAAACAAGTGTTATGTTAAGCAAAAGAGCGTATTATGTTACTCAAGCACTTGTACAAAGTCTGGGATCAGCTGTGTCTCCTGTACAAGCATCGGTCCAGCACCCAGCCAATCCTATTTCTTCAAAATTCCATAGGTGTTATTTCAATTGAGACCCATGGCCAGCGTTGGCTGTTCAATGGGAAATCTATTCTCAGCCATATCCTCCTCCTGCTGTTCAGCTTTTGTGGAAGGAATGGCATTATGCCGGACTCCATTGCCTTCCACCCCTATCGCAAACATCATAATTGCTGCTTTTTCAGAGGGAATCTAGTTTCTATATACAGTATATATATATGTATCAAGAGCCTGTGGAGATGTTTAACATAGTTACTGTAATTATGCATTCAACAAGAGCCAACAAAAAAACTTCAAAAATAAACTGAATACTTGACTGCACTACGTTTTTTTTCATGCAGAGCATATTGGCTCCTTTCTAGATTTACAGAGTGAATTTGGACAAGCAGTTTTTGAAAGGAAGTATTTATTTATTCATTCATTCATTCATTTCTTTGATTTATACCCTGCCCCCCTAGACTACTCGGGGCGGCTTACAAAATCATAAAATATCATTGGATAAAATAAAAACATCACAATCATAGTCATAACAATCATAATCATAAACATTTAAACAATAATATAGTATGATCAAGATGGGGAATGAAAGAAAAGAAAGATAGAATTCAAGAACTGACAGGAGGGAAGGCCTGCCTGAAGAGCCCGATATCCCCATACCATATTACAGCTGCTCAGCATCTTTACCTTCCCTTTGGCTTCCTGTCTCTTGAGGTTTTTGATGGTCCTGGTGACAAGATGTGCCCCTCTGGCTGCAACACAAGACACGAGGGTTTCGAAAAGCTCCCATGTCCTCTGTTGTAGCCAGAGGTCTCACAAGAGTTCCGAGGAATTGCCGGTGCAACTCTGAATTAAATGGATGAATTGACGGTTTGTCAGTGCACAACCAGCTGTTCATGCCAACTTGCTGTAGTGGCTTTTGGATTATATCAGCTATCAGCTTCCAGTGTAATAACAGAAGAATTAAGCTTACAAAAAGGTGTCTGTCGTTATTAGTGTCTGTCTGAACATGAGCTATGCGCCGCAATGCCCTGATCGAAAGTTCAGCTCAGCTATGAGTGCACTGGCTGGCCTTAAGTCAACCTCACTAATTTCACTACCACTTTTATCATTCAGGGACAATGACACAATCCCCTTCACCCATTGTAAGGTTTACCAAATCAATCTACGCATCTGAAATGTACTCTGCAAATGCTAAGAACTGCAACAATGTTCAAGTTGCCTCACTGAGAGCCAGCCCTCAGCTCACATTTGCCAAAACCTATGAGACACAAAAGGAGTTCTTGTGAGAAGCATGTCCTCCCCTCACTTTTGGGAGCTCTGTTCCCCTCAGTTCCTCCACCACCACGCTAACTGCTGAGGTCAGAAGGAACTTTCTTACACACATGAAAACAGGCAGGAGCAGAACACCCTTTTAGAATGTGCTTTGCAAGGGACATCAAATGTGAAGACTGAAGACGGCATGGCACAAAGAAGGATGGAGACGGCAAGGTCAGGGTACGCAGTACAGCTCTCTTCTACCCTTGTAACCCTCATGCATTCTGGTGAGATGCCTCAATGGGGCGTCTGTTCCAGATACTCCCTAGGTATTTATGGATAATAAAAACACTGCTCCAAAGACTCAGGTCTTGAAGCCAAACTTTTTTATTCCTGTAGAATCAAGTCAATGTTTCTTTTTCTGCAAATATCGAAAGCCTTGAAAATAAATATGCATCCACTGAGAATACTCACACGAAAAGAAATTCAACAGGCAAATTACTACCCACTAACCATTCATAAGTACTGGAAAATGTCGTTGGAGCCCACTTGAGTGTATTTCGTGTTCTGATGCGTCTACAATTCATTCCAAACAGAAGTTCCTTGCGATGCAGCACATGAAAATGCTGAACCAGCACAGTGTGTTCATTGCGATGTGCAGCAATAAAGACCACCAATCTGAAATCTAGATATAAAATGCAATATTACTGCTTTCTCACTCTCTCTTGAAGCAACACATTAAAGAAATATAGGGCTGATATATATCTTTTTCATCAGTAAATTCTGATATGCTACTTTAATGTGGTTTCTCAGTTCCTGAGCTTGGCATCAACAACACACTAAGGCCCCAATATCCTTTGCTTCCATTTTGCTGAAGGTGACCTCCTAAAAATGTCTGCATAGAGCATTCAATAAATTATATTAGCAATTCACTCAAAGAATTTTATGACAAAGGGCAATTCTTTTCAATCAATTATGTTTGTTCCTTATCTACTTCAAATAAAAAAACCCAGCCTTTCATGGCTGTTTGTTTTGTTAATATAAGTATTATCTTATATGAAATAAGATCAGCTATAAGCACAAGACGTTTACAGTTGTATATGGAACAATCTGTTTCAACCTCTTGCAAAAAAATCATTATTGTTGAGCAGTGAAAACAAGAAATAGAGTTTTAACTATTGGAAATAAGCAAATGTCATGTGATTAAAAGACCTTGGTACCTGGGATAGTTTTGTTCAAGGGCTTTCCATTTTCTGAGCATGGACCTTGAGCCTCTTGGAAACTCATAGTTAGGTCTTGTTATACCAGGTGTTTCTCTTTAACACTTTCTTATGATGTCAGCAAACTGGAATTTTAACTAAAAGAACAAAAAGCTGCCTCTATCTATAATTTACATGTGAGTGATGACTCTGATCTATATATTTTTATGCTGCCTGCAAGTACCATACATGTTCCAATACTATTCCCATTTTGTAGGTACTAGGCACAATATGAAGAATAACATGTGATTATATCTAACCAGAATGAATTGTCAAGTGGCTGTATAAGTTGCAGTGAAGCATCTTGATTAGAGATGGAACAAATAAAAAAATGGTGATTCATTTTGACCCGTTATTCGTCAAGGCAAACAAGATCAACAAATACGAATATATGAATATTCGATGACTCAATGAACTGATCTGTCAATTCATCTGTGTTTTAAATGGCTATAACACTGGTCCCCAACCATCTAGAGACACCACATTTGCAGAGAAGCTTCCTCAGAGGCTTTTCTACAACTCTTGAAAGTTTGGTGAACTTTGGATCACAGACCCCTGAATTATATAGTCACAAAAAGGACCCCCCAGGAAAGCTCCCCTTAGATATAGAGACTCCAGAATCACAAGGGAGCTTCCTATGTCTTTCCCCAACATGCCTGCCAACGTTGGTGAAGATTGGATATCAGACATCTGAGTGATTCACCCATAAATTCGGTCCCCCCAGGAGAGTTTACCACATGGCGCAGAAGCCCATTCTGCCTACTGGCCACCAATCAGCTGATCAGAAGCCGATAGGCAGCCACCCCCCCACACAACCAGCCACCCCAACAGCCTACTCCCACATCCCCTTCCTTTCTTTACCTTAGCCCCCCACCCCACTCCCACCGACACCCCCTTACCTTAATAGCTGCTGCCGAGGTCTCTATCAGGCCGTCGCAGCCACAGCATGTAAAAAGGGAGACTGGCTGCCCTTTGCAAAGATGGCAGCTGCAGCTTCCCTACCCTAAATGAAGCCACACCCGCCATCTTTTGCAAAGGGCAGCCAGTCTCCATTTTTACATGTGTGGCTCTGAGACCAGAAGACCTTGGCAGCAGCAATTAAGGTAAGAGGGTGTCAGTGGGGGTGGTATGGAGTGGCATGGGGCCTAAGATAGGGAAAGGAAGGGGGTGGGGAGTAGGCTGTGTTATTGGATGGGTGCCTTTCTGCCACCAATCAGTTAATCGGTGGCCGGTAGGCAGAATTGTGTTTTATTTTTTTTAATACGAAGGACAAATAAAAATAGGTAAATAGTCATCCCTTTGAATTCATGGGGGTCTCTGGAACCCACAAATACGGATCGACAAATATTTAACGAATTGGCTATATTCGCTGGAAAAAGCAATCTGTTTTTATATTCGTCCCCTTTTCTAATCTTGATTAAAATACACAAACCCATTATTGTGGAGCGTGGACAAGTGGAAAGAAGAACCCCACTGAGAGATTGGTTGGTTGGTTCATTGCTCCATATTTGTGTGGTTTTCCTCCTCTAACATGCGTGGGTCAACTGTGGCTCTTTCCTAGCAGTATGAGGTGTCTTTTGCTTAACAGAATGGTGACTTATTGGTTGCAAAGTGTTACTGGACAGTACCTATATAACTTTGTCACAGCAGGCTCAATAATCCTGCACTGTTTCTCTTCAACATCTTCTTATGGCATTGGCAGACCAAGACTTCCACACAGTGTACAAAGAGAGTTAGGTGACTTCTTCCCATAAGACCACTCCATGATCCCACACATCTCTTTACCATCTACTGCCTTTGGGTAACACTTTGGAGTAGCAATGTGTGTACACCTCTCCAAATCTGAGCCATGCAAAGGAACACTCTTCCTCTCAATTTGGTTTTTTAAATTTTTTTTGATCAGCCCATACACCAAACGGCAGTTTGGCCCTTGCCATTTTAAATTCTCTGTTCTTTCTTCCCCATACCAGTCTCTCAGCCCAATTGGGCAGAACAGCCAGAAAACAACCCCAGAAAACAATCCTCACTCACTAACCCCACACAATGGCCATTCTTTCAATTAAGACATAATGTCTCTCTTGCTCCTCACATAAAACCTGACCATGGTGCAAGTGAAAAGCAGGTGTTAGCCGCCTGGGTATAAAAGCAGCTGGGGAGGTGGAATGTGTGAGTCTGTTGGTCTAGCCTGCAAGGAGCAAAGGCATTACTTAATGTTAGATGAGTGGGCTATGAACAACAGCCTACTCTGAGGCAATGACACAGGTGACAAAAATGTTCTTCTCGGCTACCAGTGTTTCAGTGTCGTCACTCAGCGGAGTGCCTTTGTGTGGTCAGGGGCCTAGTACAGTCTGGCCTGGTACAAGGGTACCTTTTGATAACCTTTTGTTTCCCTGATACTTCACTTATAAAAGCACTCTTTTGGGTGTCAGGCGGTTCCTATAGCTAATGTAGGTTATGTAAGCATAACTTTGACCCTTATTTGACCAGTTATAGGAGATATGCTTCAATTTGTATGGTCCAAAGTTGCAGGCAGGAATATTTGAGAGGTGAGGCCTAACTTATGTGTCAAAAAGCTGGCAGAGGTGAAATTAGTTGGTGGGGTAAAGACAGAAGTGAAAGTAATTGCTTTTTTCAAATGCATTTGCTAATATAAATAGAAAGACAAGGACAGTTTCCCTAGTCCTAATTGTTACATGAATAATCCCTCTCTCCTCTTTTTTTACATACAAAATCTCCCTTACCTGTGATTTTAATTGTAATCTTTGTAACTAATGTATGTTCCTCTGCAGACTTTAACTGCAATAGTTGTACTAGAGTCCCTATACTATATTTGAGAGTCTCCACATCATTTGCTTAATGTTAAGAGGAGAGTGAATAATGAAGGAATGCGAGAGAGATATGCATGCATGTGTTACATGGATGAGAGACCAGAAGCCCTGAGAGATAAGAGCCAAACAGGAAGCCAAGGAAAACCTCAGGCTGAAGTTTAACTACCAGTGCTTCTAACTCAGTAGCTTACCTCCAAGCCCCCTCACAACTCCAAAACAGTATTGCAGATGATATTGGTTGTTATGACAAGAGTACCTGGAAGAGAATGAATGAAAAATGCCTTGACATATTGTAGTCCAGCATCAGAATGTTCTGGGTGAAGAACCACAACATCCTGGCTGAAGCTGATGAGTGTCTAAAACAGCAGTATCCAAGGAGTAGTGGCACGAGGGAGAAAAATACAAAGTAAAACTAGATAGAATTAGAGAGAACATCAAGATAACTTCATTTACTGAGAGCACATGTGACTGTCATGTGCTGTCCTCCCACTTCTGCATAATCTTTCTTGCAGTGGCCTCTCAGCTGTGAGTAAGGTGACTCGGTAGGCTCTGTGTTTATGTGTCTCTGCACTTGGGAATTAGTGTAAAGGGATTACACTTGACTGGGCAGACAGGCAGGGAGATTACACTTGATGTTAATGTAAAGAGATCATGCTTGACTCTAGCCTTGTCAAGTATTTGTTGAATCTCCTTGTAATAAATGTTACACCAATGGTGCTTCAGCTATACATTGGCATCCAGTGTCTCATTGTCCTTCTTTAAAAAAACATCCCTTCCAATTTATGGCACATCTATGGATGAGTTCAGGAAAAAAAATGTTTTTCCTTTAAGAAAGGAGAAGCACAATGAAGGTCTGTGGTGCCACAAAGATAAATCTACGAGGTCCAAGTCAAACAGGCATTGAAAGTTCTCCTGAGGCATAGGGAGAGGAAAGAAGCAGACAAAGGAAACTCTGATGGTTGTTGTAGGTTTTTAGGGCTGTTTGGCCATGTTCTGAAGGTTCTCTGTCTGCTATTACTGTGTGGGAAACAAAACTTCACCACAATTGAGATTAGTAACTTCTCTTTTCCCTTCCCAAGCAGAAAATGGTGCTTTGCTGTTAAACTCACCTTTCAGTTTAATCTCCCTTAAATTTGGGCTGCAGAATCTCCTCTGTGTGGACAGAGGCTGAAACACTGGGATGGACAGTGAACAAAAGCTGCCCCCATACAGAGCAGCAGGTGCTTGGCAGTACTGAATGGTGTCCTCTCTCCAACAGTGGTGATTTTAACAGAACTCCTGTTAGGAAGAGAAGCCAGAGGGATTTTTGGTATGTCAGGCCTTTATGGGTCTGGATGTACAGGAAGATTCTATAACAGGGGTCTCAAACAAGCGGCCCGGGCATTTGCAGCCCCCCCAGATGATAGTTTGTGGCCCTCGCCTTGCCTGCCCCCCCCAAGCGCCCACACATTCTCTGCTGTCAAGAGTAAAAAAAAGCCTTGCCTCGCTCGCCGGCTCTCTCTCAAGATAGCACCTCTTGCACCCTCCATCCAGAACTGCAGCCTGCCAGCCAGCCCACCTGTCTGTCGGCTAAGGAAACTCCTGGGCGGCTTCCTCGGGCTCTTGCTCTGCTTGGCGGAAAATCTGATGCGGCCCAGCCTCACCCAGACTCTGCCTCCAGCGGCCCCCAGGTAAATTGAGTTTGAGACCCCTGTTCTATAAGATACTGCATATACAATCTGAAATCCAGTCTCTGATCTCTTGCAGTGCAATAGCTGATCCCACACACTATAGTAGAACACAGACAGAGTTCCAACTCCTTTTCTCTGAAGATGCCAGCCACAGAGACTGGCAAAACATTAGGAAGAGCAACCTTCAGAACACGGCCAAACAGCCCAAAAAACCTACAACAACCATCGGATTCCGGCCATGAAAACCTTCGGGAATTATTTTTCCTGACTCTGAAAAAGGCAGTGTGTCTGCAGTAAGCAAACTGTGGCTTCTGCGTTCACCAATTACAAATTTCCCTTTTCTAGGCTAGTGACACTTGCCATTTGGAGTAGTGATCTCCATGGAAAAATTCTGATTTCTATAACATCTGGGGAACTTTTGATGAACTTGTGAAGAGGGACAGATTGTCAAATCTGAAGGTTACTAGCATTTTCTGCTGCTTTCTTTCTTAATGCCTCATTTGCATTTTAAATACTAGAGCCCATTTTCACTGCATTCGTTTCCCCCAAACAATGAACCTCAAACCACTTTTGTTTTCAAGTGGGCAGGCAAATGAGATTCTTGAGATCTGATCTTAGATCCAACTGGAACTGTAAACCCTGGCTCAATAAGTGTCTCAAGAAAACAAGATTACCAAGGCAAAGGGTATGCAAAAATGCAATGTCCTGCATTGCTATAACCTAATTAATCCACATATTCAGACTCCTCCATAGTGTATGTTCTCTGGGCAATGTACAGACACATTAAAATCTGTGATTCAAAATCTGCACTAATCAGAGACACACTTTAATCCATCTTAAGAAAGCCCACAAAGTTATCACAATATCTATAACTTGTAAGATGCTGTCACAAAAATAAAAAAAGGAAGTAAAACTGTGATCAAAGATTAAAAATCATTTGGGGGGGAGAAACTGACAACATTTACATTAATGCTACAGACACATTAAAATCTGTGATTCAAAATCTGCACTAATCAGAGACACACTTTAATCCATCTTAAGAAAGCCCACAAAGTTATCACAATATCTATAACTTGTAAGATGCTGTCACAAAAATAAAAAAAGGAAGTAAAACTGTGATCAAAGATTAAAAATCATTTGGGGGGGAGAAACTGACAACATTTACATTAATGCCACATCAAAGGCACTTTGAGCTTGAAATTTCTGTGTCATGTCACTGCTCTGGCCCTAAGTCAAACCACTTTTGTTTTCAAGTGGGCAGGCGAATGAGATTCTTAGAAGATCTGATCTTAGATCCAACTGGAACCGTAAACCCTTGGCTCAATAAGTGTCTCAAGAAAACAAGATTACCAAGGCAAAGGGTATGCAAAAATGCAATGTCCTGCATTGCTATAACCTAATTAATCCACATATTCAGACTCCTCCATAGTGTATGTTCTCTGGGCAATGTACAGACACATTAAAATCTGTGATTCAAAATCTGCACTAATCAGAGACACACTTTAATCCATCTTAAGAAAGCCCACAAAGTTATCACAATATCTATAACTTGTAAGATGCTGTCACAAAAATAAAAAAAGGAAGGGAGAAACTGACAAAATTTACATTAATGTCACATCAAAGGCACTTTGAGCTTGAAATTTCTGTGTCATGTCAATGCTCTGGCTCTAAGTTTTTTACATGCTCAAGACTCACCATGGTTAACCCATGGAGCATGAACACAGGATTCTCTATTATATCTGAACTTAGTCAATATCATAAAACATCTAAGATAAAGAGCAGTAAAAAGATTTGCATTAAAAGACAGGAATCTTTTAATGGCTTCTGAGAGATAGACATCATGGGTGAGAAGGAAAGAATGGCAACTAGAATACAGCAACAACAATCAAGAAAAACATGCTCAAAGTCAATTTTTATTCAGTATTCAACAGACTACCACAACAGTGCTTCATCACAACTCCCTGAATATACATTCATCTTGTCCAGCAGTGAAGCAAACTTAATTTTAACATAGGCTTGCTATGACTTGACTATTCCTATGCCTTTGCAATGTCTGTTCAGAGTCTGGGGCTCAAGACTCACCATGGTTAACCCATGGAGCATGAACACAGGATTCTCTATTATATCTGAACTTAGTCAATATCATAAAACATCTAAGATAAAGAGCAGTATAAAGATTTGCATTAAAAGACAGGAATCTTTTAATGGCTTCTGAGAGAGAGATAGACATCTTATGGGTGAGAAGGAAAAAATGGAAACTAGAATTCAGCAACAAGGACAGGAATCTTTTAATGGCTTCTGAGAGATAGACATCATGGGTGAGAAGGAAAGAATGGCAACTAGAATTCAGCAACAACAATCAAGAAAAACATGCTCAAAGTCAATTTTTATTCAGTATTCAACAGACTACCACAACAGTGCTTCATCACAACTCCCTGAATATACATTCATCTTGTCCAGCAGTGAAGCAAACTTAATTTTAACATAGGCTTGCTATGACTTGACTATTCCTCTGCCTTTGCAATGTCTGTTCAGAGTCTCAGAGTCTGGGATTTGATTTTCTGAAAAATGTCAATGTGTCTTCGCAATTTGTTTCTCTTAATTTTGGGGATCTAATTGCTAGAAAGTTTTTTTTTTTGTATACACACAGGCATCTCTCTGGAATTTGAGCAAGGGGAAAGCCAGTGCCCTCTCTCTCTCTCTCTCTCTCTCTGTGTGTGTGTGTGTGTGTGTGAGTGAGAGAGTGAGTGAGTGAGAGAGAGAGAGAGAGAGAGAGAGACTGTCAGAAGGAGCAGTCTACTGCCTAAAGGGTGCCCATGTTGCTTCTCCCCACAGGTGCTTTGACTGCATTTAAAGCATTTGCTGTACCTACAAATAACACTCAGCAGTGGTGTGGTCATTTCCAAGATTTCACACCAACACTGAATAATAAGCATCTATTTGGGACCCTTTATTCTTCTGCCTGAGTTAGAGCTTTTGTTTCACAGCTATTTTGGATCTGGAGGCAGCTGAAGCTGTTTAATCTAGAGCCCTGTCATGGGGCACAAAAGAAGGAACTGAATGCTTTAGAGGATGACAAAAAAAAATACTTCTGTGAAGAAAACTATTTCAGCTGCATTGTTCTTCTATTATAAAGTAGCTATCTTTTATTCCAGGCTTCTCTTTAAAATAATGTGCATGGAAAGGACAGGCATAAATGCCACTTTCTGCAAGGAAATCTTGTTGTCATCATTGGACATAAGAAAGAATAAAGCAGCAGAGGTTTAAATTATGCATTGTGAAATAATACTAAGAAAGAATCATCATCATAATAAAAATGAATACACTAAGAGAAGGAGTTCGGCATTCACGGCCCCAGTTCTACACATCTGTTAAGTTGCAATGTAAAAAAAAAAAATGTAAAGAGGAAACATATTCAATGAACAAAAAAACCATTTTGGCTTAATAAGTTTAATTAAGTAAGTTTCCATATTAACACAGCCTTTTTTTTAAAAAAAAAAAAGAAGAGCAGATAGACCATTTAAGGAAGGCAGTGTTGGTGTACTGCTATTTTGTTTTACACACCTTGTCATGGAATTCATTTTTTCCAGACTCTACAGCCTCTTCCTCATGTTTTCTTTTCTTATTCCTCTCAGAGTGACATTATGTTATAGATGAAGATTGCAGTAAATATTAAGGAAGATTTATTCTAATCCTTATATAAAAGATGTGCAACATGTGGTTTACCGTGCATGCCCTCCTCTAGAATCCTTTTTTAAATTTTTTTGGCTACTTTAATGTGCATATCCAATGTGTTATTTTAAAGTACTCAGGCTGATACACTGTGGCAGTTTTAGAAGAGCTAGCCATGTTCGTCTGAGCAAGCATATCAGGCAAAAAACAAAGGAAAAATAAAAAAAAAACAACAAAAAAGAAAAAAGCATGACACCTTAAAGACTGTTACATTTTAGTGTAAGCTTTCACGGACCTTCCTTGCCAATTCGTCAGTTTTTGCCTGGTATGTATTGTGGCAGTGCATGCTAAGCACAGAAATTTGGCAACACTTCTTTCTAAGTGGCCGTGTTTGCAATAGGGTCACATAGGCTGTTCAACAACTTGTAATATTCAAAGCTTTTTCCTGTGCTATAAACTTAAAATATGTTCAAAAGTCTTTCTTCCTCTTCCTTATCATCATTCTGCATCATGAGAAAATGGTAACATATATGAGAGAGAGGAGGCGTAAAAGGACTGCTTTACCTGTGACTGTCTTGCACTGAGCAGACCACATGACCTTCAAGGCATCTTCCAGCACTAGCCTTGTTTGTGAGTACATCCAGGAATGGTAGCTTCTCTAGCATATTGATCTCAGATGCATAAGCTCCATGTGTCTATTCCAGGGATTGGACAAATGGGACTCAGATCTATCGGTCTGCCGTTGAGAGGTATTCAGTCCCAAAGTGGTGGTGAAGCTGTAGTTAACCATATAATCTTCGATCAAACCACATGGATACTGCTTAAATAATGTGTCAGTTGACTTAGGTTTTTTTAAAAAAAGGAAAGAAAAGAGGGAGGGAAGGAGGGAACAGACAGTTTTTCAAGAGAACACCTTGAAAAGTTCAAATTTCGCGCTTTTCCCACCTCCCACGCAACTCGAAGCAAAGTTCACAAGTTTATTTATTTATTTATTTGATTTATACCCCGCCTATCTGGACCAGTGGACCACTCTAAGTTGAGGTAGTATTTTCCTATCAGAGCGGCTCATAAGTCGAAATGTTCGTAACTAGGGCCGTTCGTAAGTCGAGGGTTGACTGTATACAGTATGGAAACTTTGCAACTTGGCAGGAACACAGCCTTGCAGAACAGTCTCACTGGCACCCTAAGCAATTTCTTCGGGATTTTAAAAGTGAAAATGCAGGAGACAAAACATGGTCAGTTGCTTTGGAGAAGAGATATTACTGTTGACTTTCTAACACTAAATCAATCAGCATATTGAATATACAAACTAATCATATAAAATGGCTAATATAAAAAGTGAGTAACATACTAGGCATTGTTCAAAGACGAGGAAATGAACATAAAGAAAATGCACAATATAGGGGAAGTAAAATTTCAGGTTAACATTCATAAAAAGAGGCTGTGTGCTCACTGATTTGAGCAAGAGTTGCAGTTACATGTACACATCTGCTCTAGAATCAGAGTCTCAAAGATGAATAGAGAAAATTAATTTTACTATATGCCTGCTTCCCTGAACTTTGTCATACTATTATCTTCCACTACTTAGCAGAGCAATGTAGACAAACAATTTACTAAGTTGTTATGCAATGTATTAAGTTATCATTTAATCTCTGATCCTCCATACTCACTTTTTCTAATACAAATATACTGAATTTTAGGGATTCTTTCCTCTATTGCTGTTTTCATGTCCTAAGGGATTCTCTGCTTCTGAAATGGCTAACAGGCAAGACTGATGTTTAAATCCTGATCATCTGTGCCATACAAATGCATGACAGAGATCCTAAGATTTCTGTAGACCCTTTTTTCCAAACCTGCTTTGTGTACTAATTCTTGTCCTTTCACTGACTCTTCTTCTTCTTCTTCTTTTCCTTTTAAGGCAGACCTTTGGTTCTGTTTCTTAACTTTTGGTTGATTCTTTGCTTTTCTTCCTGTTGTTCATCTTCATTTGTCTATGCTTTATCACAGTACATTAAAAGAAACCTCTTCTGATCTATATGTCTGATGCAGAAAAATAGATTTTTCCTCTTTCCAGCAACATGTATTTTCCAAAGTTGGTAAAAGAGACAAAATAGCCTTCTCAAAACCATATTAATTTTTTGTAAAACCTAGGCATCCAGCATCAACAATAACTTTCCAAGAGATCGATCAGTTATGAATGCCCAGTCAACATCAAGCCAAACATACACTGGTAAGTTTCTCAGTGAAGCCATTAAATGAAAACCATCTCCATAGCTGACCACCCTGTTGTGGCTACACTTCCAAGGCACTACCTCCTTTTGTCTCAGCTACTCGTTCATCTTTCCAGGTCACCCAAATTTACTCCCTCTGATTTCCCATAAAAGCAAATGCATTTATGTTCTCACCATGTTATCTGAAGACTCTATGAAAATCCTCTTTGCTCTGTTCCATCTCTTCCATTCTTGAACCTCAGTTCTTCCTGGATTCCATTGCCCATGCCATTTATATACATAGATATGTATATACACACATATAAATACAGATAATTCCTCTCATATATATTTGAAAGAAAAGTGCCTTCTTTACAGGTTGTTTTCATTTCTTGTTGGTCCACCACAGGCTGGTCCTCACTTGTAAACTGATCAAGCTATCATCTCTACTCCTCCTTTTCTTTCTTTCTGTTTTTCTTTAAAGGGGAAAATGCATGCATCTTAAGAATTCGGTGGTGAAACAATAATGGCATATTTCAATTGGTACATCAATACTGCCCTCTAGTGGCAGTTGACTTTATCCATGCTACAGATGTGGGTTGCAGCTGTACATTACTATTTTCTTGAGATTTTGGTCATTTGTGATACTTAGTGACCAAATGTTAGTAGGAATTATTCTGGTTTTTTATTTCTTTTCTCTGCTTTTCTTGATTGTAAGACATTATTTTATATTTGTTGCTTTCTGTTTGACTTGTTTTTAACAAAATAAGGGCAAAATTATTAATGAAAGCAAGTGGTGAAGCAAGTCTATTAACTGAACACATTCTTTCAAAAGGGGGGAAATAACTTTGCCTAGAAGCTATTTATGCCATATTTATCAAGATGAGACAAAGCAGACTGCAGCACTGAGTCATTTGAAAACAATTGAAGCTATTTAATCAACCAAAATATAAAGCCCATCCAACAATAAGTACGAAGTTCAGATAGTAACAACAGGAAAAGGATTTAAGAAGTCACACTTCTCAACAGTTATTACTTAGAGTAGCTTGGAAAAACTGGAGAAAGAAAGATTTATTTTCTAACCATTTAGAAAACAGATGAAGCTAAACCCATTCCCTTCTAGAAGATAATACTAGGAGTATAATCATGTGGAATCATTTTTATGCACCTGGAGTGCAGTCATCCTTGGCTATTTTAGCTGAGCCCCCATCATAACAATTGAGGAAATTTATATGACAGCAGACATTACCATGAAAGAAATGATGTGCATATCTTCACAATACATTTTGGAACCTTTCCTCACCACAGCAGCCAGTTAACATTGCCTCAGTTGAGTACATTTTTTTTGACACATGTACATTTGTTCACAGATGTACATGTGTTTAGAAGGCTGGGAGAAGAAGTCCATGTGTCTTGACTATACATGGCTCAAGCTGCTCCATAGAGCAAGCTAAGTTTTCTTCCTGTTTAGGCTTCTCCACCCACCCTGTCTGCATGGGAAAGATAATCTGCCATTTTCCTATGTGGAGGCAGACGCTTCCAGCTCTCTAACCATCCTTTTTTCCAGCTGCTGCCAGTCAGAGATGAGGAGATGAGTCCGATGGTCCCGAAGCAAGAAGACCTTATTGAAAAGATAAGAGAAACGGCAGAAATGGATATCCTGTCAGAAGTAATGAAGGACTGTCCTGTGCAAAAGGTAACTGAAAGATAGGACATATTTTACAAATGGTTAGAATCATCAGATAATGTTTGAATAACATGGAATAAAATGTGGATTAAGGCAAGAAGGCAGAAAAGAGTAGAAAAGCGAAAACGGAATTTTGGATGATAATTTTAATAGAATGAATGTCAACATATCTTTGTATCTCCTCTTCCCCAGAATCCCAATCCCTTTTCCCTCTCACCTTTTGTATCCCATACCCTATCCCAAGTTATTAAGAATAATAATACAGTAATAATAATAAAAAGAAATGAGGACATGAGAACATCAGCTACCTGACAAATCAATGGGATGGTAGAAGTTGGGAAACTAAGACACTCACCACATGAGCTGTTTAGTCCACTGTCTGGAGCACTGCGGGGATGGGCTGGTGTGCTCTTAAAGATGGATCAGATGACGTATTTGCTAGAGGGCACCAGTCCCATCTATAGAATGTTCCTGCCTCCACCTTTCCGGCCCCTTTGAAGGGACTTCTACTTTTCAGGAACAGGTAGGATCACTCCGGTTTGAATTGACCTGTGATTGCTGGAAATGAGCCAAGGCAAGCCTTCCCCTTTCAATTCGCTAATATCATGAAGTGGTTTAACAAGCAAGACATTACACGTAATCACTTCTCCTGCTTAGCAGAAGGCAGAGGAAGTGAATTTTTTTGTTACTATATGTAGTTATTTTTTAAATGACTTTTTTTTTTGCCTTACCTTAAAAGACCAGTCAAGAAACCAGCTGCAATCAAGCTCAACTGTTCCCAAACAGCCCACACTACCTTGCTCTCTGCTGCTTGTGTAGCCATACCTTTAGTTGGCTGAAAAGTGGGCGGGTGGGTGTGCAATGAGTACAGTTAATGCCTCAGTTTGAGAAAAGAGCAGTGCTGGCAAGGTAGGGGAAGTGAACAACAGAAAACAGTGTGAAGGGGGTCCTCTTTGTAAGCCCAAAGGGAAAACTGGAACAAGAGATACGTACATGCTGGAAATAGGCAATAAAGTGGTGTGGCCTCTTGAAGTTGAGGGAGCTCTTAAGAAGAAGAGCATCAAACCTCTCTCACTGTCCAGTAGTTTTGAGGATGGTATAAAGTGTTGATTTGTTTTAAGAAGTATGTTTCAGAGTAAAGCAAATTAGACTTTAAATAACAGGTTTCTCAATAAATATTATAATATCTGTAACAGATGTCATCTGGCTGGGTAGTTCTGTGGTTTTGTATCTGGCTGCGGAGTCAGAGGTAAGGAGTTGAATTCCCCACGGTGTCTCCTGTAAGTAGAGCCCATGTATGTGGCCTTGGGCGAGCTGCACAGTCCCAGGGCACCCCCAGGAAAAGGGAAGGTTAACCCACATCTAAATACCCTCTACCCAGGAAACACTGGGAAAAAAGGATAGCCGTAAGTCAGAACTGACTTGACAACACATGATGATGGTAACAACACTGGAGTCCTGTTTTTCTTGCTACGGAGGAGCACAACTAACTTTCACAAAATAATGTAATATTTCCTCCCATCTTACCAACTTGTCTGGTATGCAACAAGAAATGGTTACAATAGTAATTGCTATTGTAAGACAATGCAATTTTAAAGTAACACATTGCTTTGAAAAGAGAGTGGTAAATAAATATTAGAAGCTTTAGGTATATTCTTTAATAGAAGTGAAGTCACAATTGAGTCAAAAATAGTATTACCCTATATATGTTTTCACAGTAAGAGGTTTCATTGTTCAATTAGCCTTACTGCCACGTAATCAGGTTAAGTCAGGATTGTAGCCTTAAGAACACGTTTACTGCAATATATTCATTATCAGGAAAGCTTGGTTTGGAGTAGTTCCAGGAATCCAATATATTATATTGCTATATTTTCTTCATTTTTAGTCTATAGCTGTCCCTGCTCCCCTCAGAGGATGATGATGATCTTCTTCCCATACTAGGAACAAACACAGCTACTGAAGGTGAAATACATGTCACATCTACAGGAATATGACAAGAAGTTCAAGGTGTTGCCTTGGCCTCCAAATTCCCCAGATGTCAGTCCAATTGAGCATCTATGGGATATGCTGGAACACCAAATCTGATCCATAGAGGCCCCACCTCGCAACTTGCCAGACTCCTTACTGGAGTGAGAAAGTACCATCATATTTCTCCTACTCTGGCCATGCTGCACTGGCTGCCCATCCGTTTCCGCATTGACTTCAAAGTGTTAATCCTTACTTATAAGGCCCTAAATGGTTTAGGACCTCGATACTTGGCGGAATGCCTGCTTCCACCTAGATCTACTCGAATCACCCGCACGAGCCAGGAGGTGAGGCTGAGGAGCCTAACGCCGAGGGAG